CGCTGGGCCGTATCGCAGCCCGGCTTCGGAAAATCAAAGGAAAACGTGATTCAGAACATGTGGATCTGTCTGTAGTGGAAAGACGAGGGAGGAACACAGCGGCTAAATGGAAACTATGGAGAATGCTAATGGCACTACGAGGCTTTTGATGATAAGTGAATGAGAAGGTGACGTAATGTTTTTACCCCAAAAGCCTCGAGGACACCGAGAAGAGTGAACTCCAGAAGTGGGAGTTTGATGGAAAAGCAGGAAACAGAAGGATTATTACAGCACGTTCACATCAGCCGCAACATCTGCTCATATAGGAGACTTTGAAAGGAAAAACAGATTCAAATACAAAACAATACACTTCAACATTACAGAGGCGGCTTAAAGAGGACCGAGTGTTCTCGAGGGTCGGCGTCAGAGGCCGAGGACAGAGCCGCCGTTCGAGTTCCCGTAGTCGGACAGGAAGTGGTTGCACTTCAGCCGGAGTGCAGCAGGGGGCGTTTACGTGGAGAGTCATGAGTGACTCGAAGTGAACGAGCTGAAAATGATCTCCACCTGCTTCGTCATTTAAAACTACAGCAGGCGCATGGCTTCATTACTGCAGAGCCTTTGCTTTCCACCTTAAAGCACCTGCAGGCCTGTTGTGAACAGCTGTTAAATAAATAAAGTTAAATTGAATCCACACATTTTGTTTTAGTTTTCATGAATCATATCAAAGCATCGGCGTCCTTTAGTGATTTTGCCCTCAAACACTGGTCAGTGACGGGTTCGGGACAGGACGTCGTCCCTCCACGGCGCCTGTTTCAGACCATAATAACGTTTCCACCAAGCGTCGGTAACAGCAGGCGCTGCGATGAAACAGACACTTGTTCTCTAATTTCACTGAAACATTCTGCTCCACTGTCAGAAACATGGAGCTGTTGTCACGACCTGCGGGATCGGCAAGATCAGCATCTCTTCACTCTTAGCCCCCCTTCTCTTCTCTTTTTCCTCTCCCCTGTTTTGCTGGGGCGGAACTCATGGCGGCTTCACGCCCTCGGTCCACGCCTTCCTGGATTGGGAACACCTGGGCCTCATCAGACCAGCTGGTATATTAGGAGGAGATCAGCTGTTCAATGCTGGATTGTTGTGAAGGCTCTTGTCAGTACACACCTAGCTCAAGTTTCCCGTGCCTCTGTCCCAGAGACTTAACGTGTTCCCAGATTCCCCGGACCCGTCCCCGTGTTTCCCCGTGTTTCCCCGTGTTTCCCCGTGTGGAGTGTGGAAGGAGTGACAGGTCGCTAGCGGAGTGGAGAGAGGCTGTTCTGAGCGCGTGTGTGATTTCCCCGTTTTCCCTGGAGCCCTGCCCCTCACGTCTTGTATATAGCACTAACCTCGCACTGTCTGTACATACACTTGGTGAAGATCTGTAAATAAACTATCTCTGTTTGAACGCTACCCAGGAGTCCTGCGAGTGGATCCTCTAAGCAACTCGTGACAGCTGTGATGAAACTGAATGAAGGCCTGACGTCTGCTCAGCTCGCAGTCTGAGCTGCTGGACCGTCCTGCCTGCAGAGCGGCGATCCTGTGGCTTGGACCGACGCTCCTGAATGCTCCAGGAGCTCCAGCTGGAAAACTCCCTCCCAGCGGTGGTGTGAGATTCCAGCTGGTTCACACCCTCCCACACGGCGTCCTGTGACCGCAGCCGCCCGGCGTGCAGCTCAGGAGCTCGGCCGATTCCTCCAACACCTACGGGCTGACCTCCGAGAGACCACAAACACCGTCCACAGTGACGCTCGGTGGCTTTTTACTGTTCTACAGTTTAATACTCTGAGCTCAGAAACGTGAAACTGCCAGACTCTGTCATCCTTTGTTCTGACCTGTGATTCAGATTTTGCAGAGACAATAAATCCCTTCTAATCAGAGCTAAACCTGGTTCACAGCAAGACATGAATCTAATTTGAAGCCAGAATTAAATACGGTTGAAAGCTGACATTAAACCTGAATTAAAGCCTCCTTTAAGACACTTAAATCCAATTTGAGGTTGTATGAAGATTTAAAACCAGTTTTAAATGTGGTTTAGAGCCTGGATTAAACTTTTACTTAAAGCTCAGGTTAGACCTGATTTAAAGTTAAGCTTTAAATCAGATTGAACGCTGACATTAAGCTGTTATCATGTCTAAATTATTGAAAAACTTAATTACACTTACATTAAGCCCGATGGCAGCCAGTATAAAACCCGATTTAGAGTCACCATTAAACCAGACCTAATCCAGACTGCAGCTGCCTTAAACCCGAGCTTTCTGAAGCAAAGCTGTGACTGAACACACCACCTAAGGAATAAAGAGTGTTGTTTACCCAGAATTCCACAGGCACAGCGCACAAACCTCACAAACAGCAGGTGGCAGGTTGAAGTGCACGACATCAACATGAGTTTATTTCAGCTGGTAAAATACATCCATTCCTGTGAGGTTGCAAAATGTCAAAATGCATGAACACTTTTTGTAAAGCAGTCCATAAAAAACACGTCATCAGCGTCTGCTGCGAATAAATAAAGTGGCATCAAAGTGAACGCAAAAGGCATTTTTAGATAAATGGAGGTGATCCAGAAATATACAAACAGAAGGTCGACTCGGCGTTTCTGAGTCCGCACATCACGACAAAATACCAGACGTGATAAAAACAGCAGAAAGAAAACATGAAGACAGAGTGAAATCAATAAAAACAAACAAAGTTTAGGCGTTCAGCCTTTCAGAATAAAAGCCTTTGTGAGACAAACAGGAGCCTCAAAATCAATAAACTCAACTTACTGTGGAGCGAGTCACCCGGCTGCTGCTTTCATTACTTTAATGAAGTGAAACTGTCTCCTTCCTGCTGTTTATTACAACTTTTATTTCCATCGCTGTAGCCAACACCTTTGTAGTCATCAGTCAAGTTTCCATCCAGCTTTCATGTTTTCAATTCAAGCATTAAATTATCGAAAACTATCGAAATTCACAGTACGACACGCGGTGGGTTGAATTTTCGGGTCAAATACTCATCGAATGACTACGATCAGTCTTTATTAATTTTGCTTGTACATAATCAGAAGATGTGATGGCCACAGGTACAAAAACAAAATTTAAATCGTTATAAACTGGTTTAGCTTAAGGTCCTGTCCACATGTACACAGGCATTTAGTTAATGTGACTTTTTCTGGGCCTTTTGGTCCCAAAGTAAACATTTATTGTTTATAGTCTTTTGAGCTGCCAGCATTTTTATGCAGTGAGGCTTATATCGCCACCTGCTGGCACGCTCTTGATATTTTTCAAAAAGAAATCCTTGCTTTAAAAAATACCCGTGTATATGAGGACGTAGCCTAATGCTGACAGTCAGATGTTCGATACCAAAATCATGTCTCGTGTCAAGCTTCAGAACTGTTGGCAGATCCAGGAAACCTTTGTTAGTACTGACAGAAAATGCTGTAAATGTTTGAACTCCACTGAATAGCCGGTGTGACGTTGCAGCTAGCTGGCTAACCGCCCTGCCTTTAATCCCTCTACGTTACCACATCTTCGATGTGGGGCGATCGTGGCTCAAGAGTTGGGAGTTCGCCTTGTAATCGGAAGGTTGCCGGTCCGAGCCCCGGCTCGGACAGTCTCGGTCGTTGTGTCCTTGGGCAAGACACTTCACCCGTTGCCTACTGGTGGTGGTCAGAGGGCCCGGTGGCGCCAGTGTACGGCAGCCTCACCTCTGTCAGTGCGCCCCAGGGTGGCTGTGGCTACAATGTAGCTGCCATCAGTGTGTGGATGATGGATGACTGGATGTGTAAAGCGCTTCGGGGTCCTTAGGGACTAGAAAAGCGCTATACAAATACAGGCCATTTACCATTTACCATTTTAATTTAAAGCTTTTGCTTCAACTCAATCGTCTTAGACTTAATAATGATAATTTTGCTAGCTGGCTAATTAGGATTCACAGTTTTCGCCCACAATAACATTGGCAAGCGGTCCTAGTTAGTTTAGCTAGCTTAAGTAACTAAATTGAACGCGTTAAAATAGTGGATAGATCGTAAAATTATCTGATATTCCTGTTTGGCTAACCTATGTTCGTTACATAAAACTGGTGTTTCCTCTGGCTAATGCTAGCTAGTGCTCTAACATGAGCGTTCGTTTTGTCGTCATGTGGAGCCAAAAGATAAACATGACGTTCTTTGGATTTTTTAGGGAACTTTAGCCTATGAAATGACAGGTTACTGAGGTTTAACCATGTGACTTGTTCACCACTGTAGACACATGACAATCATGGAGTCAGCGTAGATAATTATAAGACTTGAGACCAGTCTGAAACCATCTGCCATCCACCGGTTGTTTCCTGATCATTTCCAGACTAGTTGCGAGGGGTAAATGATTACTAAAGTGTCAGCCACGCAGGTCTACGGCCCGATCAGTGGTAACTAACCCTTGCTAAGGAAAATGTGCATTCTCCAACTGTCCAAAGTTCCTTGTGATGACTTTGGTTCCTAACATGTTGCTGCGGTCTTAGTCCGAATGGAAGAAACAGACCTGAAAACAAACACCGTCCAAAGTATGACACAAACCTTCTCCATCATTTCTGGTTCACATCGCACTTTTTCAAGTTTTACTACAGCCGGGCTAACAGTTAGCAAACATGAAAAACTACAGACAACCTGTGAGCAACAAGTGATCGCTAAGACGTTTTTGGTGTTCCACCGTCTTGGCAACCCATTTCAACCAAAGACCTCAGGAACCAAGGCCAATCAGTTCGGGAATACACATTTCCATAGTAACCATGGTGGTTGCATCTCGCCCACGGCAGACGACGTGTTCATGACATCACGCGAGAAACCTCAATAATCCTGATTTTTAAATGACTTCAGCTTCCATTCAGATATTGGCGATAACCTTTAGCACGGACATGATTTTGGTAACGATCTTCTCTGTAACTCTCAGTATGAAAACTAACAAATGATTTAACTACACCATGAGCTGTGCTAACGAGACAGCTGCAGCAGAAATGTGTTGGTACATTTATTGCGCGTCTGGTTGTAAAGCTGAAATCTTCAGACATCACTAAAGATAATCTGGAGACAGAATCAAACCTGTAAGCTGACGCCTTATCGTCAACCCTTTGTAGGACATTAAACTGACCTTTGTACAGTCACTGTGGTAGAAGCTGCCAGAGTTAATGCCCAATTTAATCAAATATTTAATTAGCTTTAATTCCATAATCGCTATGTGCAAATGTTAAAAATGCACTTTTAAAATACTGTGCATACGTTAAGAATCTGTGCATGTTCAAACCGCTCTCCACTCTACATCACTTCTCTACAACACAGATGGAGCTGCTGCAAGTTTTAAGTAAAAGAGAAAAAAACAGAAGAGAAAACACCGCCATCGTGGAAGAAGCTGAACAAGAAGTCAACAAAGACAGCACAAACACCGTCAGGTCTGACCACACGACGAAGGCTAAACCGGAACCCACAGACTCCCTGACATCATCATGCCGAACGAGAAAGGAAGCACAAAATGGACGTAAAGCTTCAGTCAAAGATTAAAACAAACAAAAACAACACCACAGACTACTTCATGCCAACAAAATACAGCTCCGACCAGTCATCCACATTCCAGGTAAAATAGTTGGTCGTTAAACCTGAAAATATAAAAATACTTCATGTTTTAAGGTTTTAGTGGTCTTTGTTTAGTGACTGAGGCCGTTTCCGTGCTCAACACTCAGCGATTAATATATTTATATATATTTTCTTCTTTTTAACACCAGGACAGCACACAGGAGCAGCTCAGAACAACAGTGATTGAAAGACGGGATTGGATCGTCACAGGCGGCCATGAACAAACAGGCTGAACCGTACATTCAAGTCGAGGGTGGGTATCCATGCTCTGAGGGCGGGGTCCAAAAAATAACTCTAAACTGGGGATTTTTTCTTAAGCGCAACAATCAATCAAACCACCTTTTTTTCTTTTCTTTTTGTTGGTCGACATGCAGAGTCGTGTGCAAAGTTCCTGGTCGGAGAAGCAGTGCTTGGTTTGTTGTTGCATTGACTTTTTTTCCTGGGTAACAGTCGATGCCATGGGTTCTGAGGCGTGGCAGAGTTGAACCAGCAACTTTAGTTGAGTTTACAATCTGCGGAGGTCGGAGGGCAGCTCGTCAGCAACACACCCGGCCAATCACCACTGTGGTAAAAAAAGGAAGGGCGGGGAATAGTTAGCTGAGATACTGTGAATAATGATGGATCTGAAACCTGCATTCTTTCTAATGTCCAGCAGGGGGCGACTCCTCAGGTCAACAGTATAAACAAATAGTTTCTCACAACTGTTGACTGTTCCAGTATTGAATGTTTATACTGATCGTGACCAAAGTTTCCAATAATGAGCTCAGTGCAGTAATCTAAACACTGCAGTTACATGGCCCCGCCCACCTACTGTTTAGACCTTCTGTTTGTGAGAGGAAACCAATCAGAAGAGTGTTTGCTTAAAAGGGGAGGAGCTAAAACAGCTTGTTTCAGACAGAGGTTGGAATGCAGACTACCAGATAAAGAAGGATTATTATGAATTATGAATCATGAAAATCTGCTTAAGTAGAGAACAGGAAGTGACATCATGCCTTGTTGGTTTTGGTAGTACCTACATATGTCTGAAGAACTTCTTCCTTAAAGCGTGCTGCTGAGGATCTCCGACACCTGGGAGTTGGTTTGGTCATCCGAGTCCACCTCCTGGGCGGTGGCTCCCTCTGGCTCCTCCCCCTCCACGACCACCGACACGCCTGCGGCCCTCACCTTCTCCATCACCACTGCCCCCTGCTCCTCCTCCTCCCACCCCCTCCTCTCGTGGCCTGGTGACAGCTCTTTGCAGGGCTCAACGAATATCCTGCGAACGTGCGGTCGCGGCTCCCGATGTCGGGTTTTGTGGCTCTCCAGGACACAGGAGGCGTGGCTGACATAGGTGGTGCCATCCGGGGAGGGCAGGTCCCCCGGCAGGGGCAGGTCGGGGTCGAGCTGCTTGGTGTAGATTCCCTCTGACAACGATCCGGTGTGACTCTCCCCGCTGTGGCCCCTGAGCCAGCGCTGGGGCCCACTGAAGTACTGCCCGCGGTGGCTCCTGGACAGGATCTTACGTTTGGCGGGTGGGTTGGCGAGGGTCCGGAGGGGGGCAGGGCCCTCGTGGTGGCTCTTTGAGAGCGAGAGGCCCTCCAGAGTCCGGGTGGTGTCAAACAGAGCCGGGGACAGGGGAAGATCTTTGGAGAACCTGGGGGAGAGGGGGAGGGAGGGGGAGGTGGGCAGGGTTCGAGAGCGAGAGGGCGCGCGAGGGAGGAGAGGTGAGGAGAGGGGACCATCCTTAGGATCCTTCACCACGGGGGAGAGGGGGAGGTCTTTAGCCGGGCACACGCTATACCTGAGTGGAAACCATGAGGAAAGTAATCAGATTACCCAAACAACATGGAGGACCTGCTGGAGGATTGATACTGATGCTCAACAACTCAAAGAAGCTAAAATCTAAAGAAATGAAAACGATTCACTTCAGATGAAAACAAAAAACGTCATGTGACTCTGAGGGTGGGCCTGCGAGGTGATACCAGGTGTGCAGGGCGCATCCTAGTCAGGTGCTGAAGCACCCCAGTGCAGGCCGAAGGTAACAGCGCTGCGCTGTGGACTGACTCTGATCTACAGCCTGAAGTGATCAGTGCACGCACACGAAGACGTGCAGGGTTAAAGAAAGCGCACTAATCACCGGAGCTCGTTGATTTGGAGCACGTCCGGGGCGCTGCCGCCCAGCAAGCGCAGCGCCTGCTGGGACAGATCCTGGCCCGGAGAATAGAGCAGATCCAGGTCACGGGGGCTCAGGGCATCGCTGGAGTCATAGTCGCTGTCTGTGGGCAGGAACACCTCCGAGGATGCATCTTCATCTGAGCCCGGCAGCGACTCTAGATGACAGAGGATTAACGTTAGCTTTGAGTGCTTCTTGTTTTCCTGAAGTTTAATTTGTTGAGCGATGCCTCACCGCTGATGGCTTTCCTCCGGCGGAGCTCTGGGGAAGGAGACGGTGTGGGCAGGTAGTCCATGTTTGAGGAAGTGGAGTCTGTCTTCTGTTGACCGGAGTCACTCTCAGGAACGCTGACATCCACCAAGCAGGTGATGGGCACGCCGCCTCGAGGCTGCTTGTAGCGTGCGTATTGTAGGGCGTCCGTAATCCAGCGAAGGTCCCGCCGCATCTCGTCCAGTTGCTACAGAGACGCAGAAAAAACAAGTTTAGCCCTCAAAAAGCTCGATGGGGGCTGCATGGAGCACAGCAGGAGTTACAGCTTTACTCAAATACCAGAGAGCTTTTCTGATGATCTACTCGTCTATGGCATCAGGCGATAACCACTGTGATGACTGAAGCCTGATTATGAAGAGTTTGGTTCTACTGTGAGAGATCTTACTGGGCTTCTTTCTGTCATAACAACATTACTGATGCTGAAAACTACATTCATGTATTTAACGGGACTTTTGAGCTCAGCTGTGGAAGTGGAACTTTATGAACAGGAGTCAGTCACAGGCTCCTCCTCTGACACTATCGAACAAACACGAGTGACAGTTTTTCTGTGGCGTGCACGCTCTGTGCACGAAGGTAAAGTCAACATGTGCCTCGGGTGGAACGAAAGGAGGCAAATCAAAAAGCGATCAGCTGATGTCACAATCAGCTTTAGTCTAATCGGCTGTACTCTTCATCCTATTGGTCCTGCAGAGTAGCTCCGCCTGCTTATCGATCCCACTGATCTGACCACCACCCGCCTCTATGGTGACGCTTCCACAGCACAACGTTTTACCCACTGGCTCTGGAGTCATGCATCCACACTGTCAGCACCTCAGCGTTCCTGTGTAACACTCCTAACAGCAACATATGATGAAGACACGGAGAACAATTGTATGCCGGATCCACGTCCACTCGGTAAAGTCTAATTTGGCTGGAAGGTTAAAAACACTTTATACAAATACTTTGCAGTTCAGCCCAGAAACAGAAAGTTTGAATCCATCAGCTTGTAGTTAGTTTGTGCTGTTCCAGTGGAAAAGACGTAAAAACGACCACTTTAAAGAGAAAATGGCCTCATGAGACTTTCATCTGTGGGCTCTCAGTGGGATCGTCACAGCTTATTACGAATATTTGTCTGAAACAGTCCAAAACAAACAAAGATTATTATACAGCGTCGTCCCGTTTAGTGACATATTACTGTGGAGTTCTCTGTTTTGTATTGTGCACATTAGTGAGGTCATCCCAGCGCGTGTTATACATAAGTGACAGGATTTCTTCATAAGTGGTTAAACTGCTGATGTGATCTGATCTGGAAACAGTGAAAAACATGTTTTCTTTGGACGGCAGTAAAGTGTGATCAGCAGTAATTAGCCTGCTGTCAGAGAGGCCGAGGCCCACCGCGGTCCTCGCAGAGTCAGCCGACCGCCGACACACACGGTGGGGAGACGGACAGCGGCGATGACTCGACTGGAAAGAATGCGGCGAGTCTGCTGCGAGGAAAACACGAAGGAGATTCCTGCTCGTCCCACAGAGCGCGGCGGCACATCTCTGCCGAGCGTTTACAAAGAGCTGCTGCTGAGCCCGGATCGATGTGAGCCATTACATCAGCCCTGCGCCGCGTCCACAGGAAATGAAGCGACGCAGCGCGAGTCCGCGGCTCATCTGCAGCTTCTCATCGTCAAATCTAAACACAACGCGCCAAAGAAATGACGAATCCTTCGACAACAAAAGTCGCACCTGAGCCAGCGCGCCCCGCAGCAGGTACATAAAAGATGTCAACGTCCTACAAATAAAGGCTTCTGATTGGTTTACTGTCTCTGGACAGATGATGTCAGTTTCTGATTGGTTTGTTTCATTGCTCTGTCTTTCCTCTGCTCCGTATCTTTGGATGGGTTCGGTTTGTCACGCACAGAAAACTAAACCAGGTGAGCCGGTTCAGTTGCTGATTGGCCCTAAACCCTGAGCCTGGTTCTGTTGGAGGTTTCTTCCTGTTGAAGGCGAGTTTTCCTCCCCGTGTCACCTGGAGCTCGCTCACAGTGTCGTTGAAGGCACTTAGCTCAGACTTGCAGCGCACACCTGGATGGATCGGATCACGTTCTCACCTTTAAACCGCTCTGGAGTCCATGTGGAAGCGAGTCTCGGTGCTTTGGGCCACGCCCGTGTGTGATTACCGCGACACAAACTCAGCACGTATAAGCTGGAGCTGTCTTTCTGCAGTAACAGTGGGACAGACTGGGCTGAGCCATCACAGCCATCAGGTCCACTTTTACTACATTTAAAGAAACATAAGAAAAAGTCTTCCTGCGTTCAGACGGGAAAGTTGTTGAGCCCCACAAATCCTCTTAAGTTGGTCGTGATGATGAATCTGCTCGCACATCTGTAAAGCTGCACGGCAGTAAGAAGAAGTCAGTTCGAAGCCGTTGCACTGCAGATAAGATGCTGGAGGTTTCACGCCGATCGGGGTGGCGTGGAGCTTCAGGGAGAGAGCTGTGCGGTGACGAGCTTCCCGAGCTGAAGATGAAGTTTCCATCTGCAGCTTCATGATGTCACACCAAGAGCGACGCAGGCAGATACGTCGCACTCTGCTCAGCGTCGCTTCCCTCAGCATCTGTGTCCGGTTACCGCAGCGACGCCCGTCTGGGCGCTTGTGTTTCCTGCTGAGCCAAACCTGCTTCCTGAAACAGAAACGTCCTGATGAAGACCAGCGATACGGGTTCACTGAAGAGCTGACTGAGAGAGCCGAAGACGGACGAGCAACAGGAACTGCGATCGATCTGCTCGCCATCGCTGCAGCTGAGCCTAAACTGTCCAATCAGACTCAGTGTGTGAACGTTTATAAATATGTAATAAATCAGTCACTCCTGTAACGTGTGTGTACGTGATAGCGTGGCAGCGATTACATGTTGAAACCAGCTGTTGTCTCAGATGTGCTCTGTTTCTGAGAGATGAACATTAAGTTTTGGACCGTTCACAGTTAAAGTGATGACTGTCCTCAGGACGCCTGACGGAAGCTCCACCCCTCCACGCGCTCTGACTGCTTTTAGTTTCCGAGCATTTTGTGGTCGTCTACTTTTTCCCCCGAGCGTTCAGATGACAGCCGGAGAGCGAGACGACGGCCTGACACGCTCTGGCAGCGCTGCGATCAGAGCCAGCTCTTGTGGTTTTGCGCTCCGTTGATGGCGGCGGCGGCGAGCTTTCCAAGAGCAGAGAAACAAACTGTTTAACAGCACCGACTCTTTGTTGCCTCCATAAACGTGTCAGATCGATCACAGACTCGTCTGCTTTCAGTTTGTTTGCTTCTCAGAGAAAAACTGAAATAAAATCATAGAGAAAACGAGATCTATTACACGAAGGCTGTTTGATGAGCGGCCGGGCGATTAACGTTCCTGCAGCGGAGACGTTTACGAGCCTGAAGGGCGTTTTAATCTGAGGTCAGCTGACTCACAGCAGTGTTTGAGTTTCACACGTTCATTTCAGGAATTTTCCCACATCTTTCAGAAAATTCTTCCCTGAATGTTTCACAGCCTGGTTAGCCTCACGTTTCCATGAACTAGCAAACAGAGAGCCGCTGACCTGCTCCAGGACAACAAGTATCTGTTCATCTTACACGCAGAGCTGAAATATGAGGACGTTACAGAGCACGCTCTCCTCAGGATGAAGCTCCACCCACCAGAGACACAGCTGAAGGAAGCAAAGACGAACCAGTGTGAGAAGAAGACTAAACCTGAGCCACAGCGTCTCAGGTACAAATCAGAAAACTCGTCGTCAGAACTTTAAACCTGAAGGTGATGATGAGTGTGTGAAATGCATGCTGGGAAATTTATAGGTCAAAAGGTTAAAGGCGACCAAAAGTTACCTGGATGTAATCCAGGATGAGCTGGTGCCTCTGCTTGGCCGTGGCCACCTCGCCGTCAGTGATGGCCTCCCGCAGTGCCTGCTGGGTAATAAGGGCGTCCAGGTCGAGGACGGAGGACAGGCGGCAGTACAGGCTGATGAACTTCTCTTTGTAGGTGCAGAAGTGCACTGAGGAGAGAAAGGAAAGGAGACGTGAGAGAGGACACTCAAAGCATCGCGGCGGTCTGACTCGGCTGGCGCAGCGAGCAGCAGTGCGTACACAGAGCGAGTGTTGCTCAGTGTGATTGGCTGCAGACTGATATAATGCTCGGCTCTGCAGACGGACCCGAGCGTCTGTGCCGCCGTCTGTGCTGCTCATCCCGCCACAATAAAAGCCCAAAGCTCTGCAGGACATCTGCACAGCGAGCCCGTAAACCTGAGAGCCCGCCTCAGAGCTGCTGCGGGACAGTCGGCTGAAGCCTTCCTGTAAGAGCTGGTGTATGTGAACGCATCGCCGAGCTGCTGCTCTGTGATGTTTCTCCAACACGCTCGCTCCCTGGTTACAGCCTGATTGGAACGTTAGACTTCCTAAAACCTGGAGATGGCGCTCCACATCCCCGTTCTTCAGGCCTTCTGCAGTCGTCTCGTTCCATTGAGCTCGTGGTCTTGAAAGTTCTGCTCGGTAGCTTCTAACGTGTTCACTGTGTTTCCCAGCGTCTCCGTCTCTTAAAGACGCCTCAGTGGGTCGTTCTCGGCATCTCCGTGCTCATGAACCTCGCCGCTGCTTCATTCTCAGCAGAGCCGTCTGCTCCACCTTTAGATCCACCACGATGTTTCATCCCTGAAAGTCACCGTGCCATCAAACCGATGTAACGTGCTGCTGCATGCTCTTACCGAGTTCAAACATCTGCAGGGGCAGGTGGAGGAACCCCGACAGTGGGGTGTAGGGGTTGGACTGTCCGGGGGCGGAGCAGACATCATCGGCGGCGGGCAGCAGCAGCAGGAAGGAGACGCCGTGACCGAGCTCCACCACCTCCTGACTGTAGAGCCGGAAGTGACGGGCCTGCAGACACACACACACACACACACTGTACTTCAGTGTCTGCTAATAAAAGTCAAATCCTTTACAATGAGCATCATTAACGTGTAAAATAATAATAAATGACATGATTCCAGTAAAACGTCGTCTGCAGGCCTGAAATGAGACGCTTCCTCTGCAGGTTAGAGAACCTGTCACATGACTACAGGCTGATTTTAGAGCCTGATGTTTGCAGGGGTTACCTGCAGGAGCAGCTTACGTTATAACTTTGTAACACAGCCTGTGGCGGGTGGTGTAGTTCCCCTGTAATATAAGAACTGACAGTGGTTTTATTACTAAGTCATTATGTTTATGTAGAAATACTTAAAGGCAGGAACACGAGCATAAGGAGGTAACAAGACAGGTTTTTAAAGGAAAAGGAAATAATTATACTGTAAGTAATATATACACTGTAATATCCTGTAAGCACGCAGGATTTATTTAGTGTCTGCTGTAGGAGAGCTCATCACACCAATGTGGGTAAAACAACTGAACATCGTCCACATTATTAACACCCTGAAAAGTGCAGCACAGGTAATTACACGGTACTTTAAACTGAATCATTTCTCTCTGTTCCTGTAAAATATAAATAAAGAGCATTTACTTGTGCACTGCCTTAAACAACTACACATTACTGTTACTGCATCACTTTGTTGTTTCCTGTACAAGCCTGACTGTTTACTAGGGATGGGTACCATGGCACCGCTTCTGACATAAACGGTAGTAACCAGACCGAAAAGCAGCGCACATTTTGGTGCTTTTTTCTCCTGAGCTGTGACACACTTTAGATTCTAGCCAATCATTTTACGTTTCCGAGGATAGTAGGCGGGTCCTGGCACGTACGTTCTTTTAGAGCAGAGCTTCAGATTAAAAATGCCCAAGGCAAAGTCTGGCTGTACTTCACAGCAAAAGATGCAAACTCAGCAGCAACAAGTGCTTTAAGCTGATACTGTGATACTGTCAAAGGAGGTAACACCAAGAATCTGATGAAACACCTGGCGACGCATAGCGTTTTGGTAAAAACCCGAGAAATGCGCCGTATTTGATAGCTTGCTGCGAGACCTCACACCGAGCACATCTACTGCAGGTGTGGTGCCTGTTATCTGACCCGGAGTTAGCAACATCCCCCAAAAACCCGAAGAATAGAGTCCTGGCCCCTAGCCCTGCCAGTGTAGCAGAAATGATGAGGATGATGATGCAGCAGCAGCCGTTCTTCTCTGCGTGAGTAGCTTCATGTTGTTCGTGTGTAATTTACGTTGAGTAGGCTAACCACGTTATTACATTAATGCATGTAAGGTGAACTAGCAAACATCATCGTAGCTACATGCTGCTGTCTTCTTGTTTGATGGCAGATACTCCCTTCACCCTGGCCAAAAAGGCTAAAAAGACCAAAGGAAAAGTGGACGAAATTCATAGTCAAAGATCTCCATCCATTTTCAACGGTGGTGTCACCATCACTCAGGTGAAAAATGTCGTATTACTCTGACGTAAAAACAATAGTATGTTATAGACTGTATGTTGCAGAAAAAAAGAGACGGCTAAAAATAAAAACATGTTCTTCATTCTTTAAGCACCGGCACCGTTTCAAAAGTACCGGTTTGGCACTAGTATCAGAGAAAACCTAAACAATACCTTCCCTGCTGTTTACCCTCATGTTGTTCAAGTGTTCCTACCTGTAAGTATTTGTAAGTAATATAAGTACAGAGTAACTATGGCTGTAGCCGCGTGCTGTGTGAGGTGTGCGTACCTGGTGCAGAGGTAGGTTGATGTGTTTCAGCAGGGACTTGATGGCCGTCTGCAGCTCATAGTACAGTAAAGGGGCGTGACTTTCTGCCCGGGGCCCCGCCCCCTGGTCGTCCTCCTTCTCTCCTGCAGCTGCCAGCGTCTGGATCCAGTCCCACTCCTCTCTGATTGGACAGCACACACAGACAGAGGCGGGTCACTGATGCCGTCAGAGACTTCCTGCGGACCGCAGGGCAGGGTCTCCGCTTGCCTCGGCTAACCGAAACCGACAAATCAACACCAGCTTCATCTGCACGCCGGCTCACACTCAAAAACACAGCAGCAGCTCTTTTCTCTCCCGTTTCTTCCATTCTTCGACCACGCTGAGCTGCCGAGCTCGCACATATTCTTGGAAGTCGACGAGCAGGAATACGATGTTGATCCTCGATCAGTCCGAGCGAGGACACGCCGAACATCTCACACTGACTTTAGCTCACAGTAGGAACCAACTGGTGCTGGAGCTTCACGAGGTAACGCGGCAAGATTCAAGTCGGTTCCCTCTTTTCATCGTTAGTTCCCTCCTTCGTTGGTTTGTTCATCGCTTCCTTCCGTTCCTAGCTTGTTAGATTCTTCTTTCCTCCTTCCTGGTTGCTGTGTTTGCCTCTTCCATGTTTTTCTTATTTTTTCTTTTATTTCTTTGTAAAGTTTCTTCACTTGTTTCTTCATTGGTTACCTTCTTCCTGTTTTTCTTCCTTGGTCCATTTTCTTCTTTTCTTCAGTCTCTTTGTTACTTGCTTCCTTTTTAGTTCCTTCCTTTGTTTCTTCCTCTGTTTATCCAAAGTCGAGTTACACGGGTGACAGACCAATGAGGGAGCTGCACACGCCCATTTTGCCAGCAAAACTTTCCAGATATTCCCGGACGATTCCAAGGTGCTCGCAGGCCAGATGAGGTATTCCCCCAGCATGTTCTGGATCAACCAGGAAATCCCTTCCAGTTTCCAACCCGCCACAGGCTCCAGGCAGCCGTCCTAATCAGACGTCGACCCAGCCGCCCTGCAGAGGAACCTCATTTGATTTCAGCCACGTGTGCTGCTGCAGGAACAAAGCAGCGTTCGCTCTACATTTCACACGGAAACAGCACCAAACTGAGAGCTCGCCATTCACCACCCCCGCAGTCTGAGAGCGAGCGACCTCACTGACATGAAACAGCTTGGAAACCTTCCTCCCTCCTCCTCTCAGCTCCTTCAGCTGAGAGCACTGACCCCGTCTCCCACCCTCGTCGTGCACTCGCCTCATTCAATGCAGCTGTTATTCAGCACTGAGGTAAGCCTACCTGGACACGTTGGCGTTGTCTCGTACGCGGGTGTGGCAGAGCATGTTGGGGGTCCGCTGGGACACCAGGACCTTGATCTGGTCCACGGAGCTGCTGAGCTTCAGGTAGCCCAAGTAGAGTCCCGGGGCGAGCCGGTGGGTGCTGCGCCGTTGGTACGCCAAAATGTCCTGAAGGGCAGAAACAGAAACGGGTTAAATTCAGGACTTCCTGTCAGGTGACTCGCGCCTGTGCCTCACCTGTATGGTGATGATGAGGATGTCGAGGGCGTAGGGCTCCTCGGGTGTGGACAGAGACTTCCTCTGGCTCTGCAGTTTGGTCACCTGCATCCACTTCCCGCTGAACAGCGAGTGCTGGCTCTCCGTGTCGCGGATCGCCACCAGCAGCACGTTGCCATGGCGATCCTTGATGGGCTCGTAGTGGACCCGGCCCAGGTTGTGGGTTCCCAGGAGGTTCTGCGGGTGGAGCAGGTAAACATTACAGGATTACAGGTCTGAGACGGCTCTGGGCACGCTCGGCCTGTCGGACGTCACTTTGAAGGTTTGGTTTGTGATTTTCATTGAAGCTGATTGGTTGGTTTCCTGACCTGCAGCTGCCCGGCGGCGGTGAGCATCTTGTGCCTGGCCTGCAGGGTGGAGGACGACGACATGGACACCGACATGCTCTGTCTCAGCCACCGGACGTCCTCCCACATGCAGGACAGCTGCAGACACACAAACAGGAAGTTGACATCAGAGACACAGCGTGTGAAAAACTGTCCATTAACACACTTTAATCCTTTGCCGTTCCTCCTCCACCCTCTTACTACAACCAAGCAAAAGCTCCTGAGGGCTGAAGCAGCCATTATGGCTCCAGCTCGCACACACTGGTCACACTGGTCACACTGGCAGCTTCCCTACAGAAGCCCTTCAGTTACAGCAGACTTGCAGGTTGTAGCGCTGCAGCGATTCGGTTCGTTACGCTGAACCTCGTGACTCATTGTTCGCAGGTTCAAACCCACAGTCTTTAGAAACAGAGAAGTGTGGCAGTACAGAGAGGCTGGAGGGAGACCAAAACCCTGAAACAAGACGTGAACTGTTCAGACATTTATGTCCAAACCAGCTGCCTGCTGGGAATAAAAGACAGCCGAGAACCAGCAGCAGAAATAAATACGACACATGATGAGAGGAAAGGGTGTGAGGAGCAGAGGGCTCATTCAGAGCTGCCGGACAGACGACGATGATGACGAAGATGATGAGGTTTTATTTGTGTACCTTTGTGAACCACAGGAAGTCCTGCATGAGCGAGCTGCTGTACGAGTCATCCACCTCCACGATGGGGATCTGCTCCTCGGCCGTCACCAGTAAACTGTCCTTATGGTAGAACACAGCCGCCAGGTAGATCCCCCTGCACGCACAGGATGGTGCGGTCCGCACAGGTGAATAGAAAGGAGAGTTAGCGTGCTTATGCTAATGATGCACTTTACAGTTTAATCAGATTCGGTCTGAAAAACCATCATTTTATGAGTTTACTGAGTTAAATTAGGATAAAGATGTTTGTTATTCTGTTTCCTGTGTCTCTGCTTCCTGCTGCAGCTTTCTTGCTGTGGTCCGTCATCGCGCTGACATCAGTGGTTTCAACTTCCTGAAACAACTTTATGTTGTGGTGTGCGCCACTGAAACCAATCAGAGACTTTTAAATAAGAAAGACACAAGAAACTAAATCAGCAGTCCTGAAAAGCTCAGGCGCCAAGTTGGAGCCACTGATGTCACTGCAGGACTACCACAAGAAATTCCACCCAAGAGAACTACTGTTGATACCAGCAGAGCATCAGTGTCTATGGGAGGGATTCAATTCAATTCAATTTTATTTATATAGCGCCAAATCACAACATAAGTCGCCTCAAGGGATGGCTGCAAGAAAACTCCTGCAACATCCACCAAGACTGAGCTGGTTCCCACGTGAACTCGATCCACATATTTCCACTAAAACATGGAGGTGCTACTGCGAGAATTCCCACCCGCCACACCTAAACCAATGAACGTGATGCTGGTGCCACAAGAACGGGAAGCCTATGAAGGTTACAGTGAAGCCGAGAGCGTCCTCAGGCTCGTCGTAGAGAAGCAGCTTCTGACCTTTTCAGTGTCTTTACAAACTTGTTGGAGGAGTTGAAGAGATGTTTCAGACTTCTGGAGACAGACTGCTTCCTGCTGGGGTTCTGCAGCTTAGAGGCATCTGAACAAAAAGACGAGAGAAGAAGAAAACAAGTGAAAACTGCGTTTTTTTTCCAGCTTCAGTCTAAATGTTTGTTTATGGGTCAGCGGGGTCGAGCTTCTCTCCCACGCTGCCGCTCTGACTCAATCTTATCTCCTTTCCCTCGCGTCCTCTGTCGCTCCCTCTGGCCTCGCGAGGACGCCGACTGGCCGCTCAGTGATGCCAATCTCCAGACCGCAGCGCCCCTTTTACTGCAGCTAATTAAGCATCACGTAATTACCGTCCTGTAAACAGACGTCAGACGTGGAGCCGACAGGAGCCGGCCGCAGACCGCCAGGGGAACAAGCCGTGATACAGATGCACAGTGGAGGGAGCGCCGAGGAAAAACAGATCATCGATCCCGTGACCTCTGACCCCTTCCCAACAGAAAAGCAGCACACAGCAACATCACCGTAGGTCACAGCGTCCTCGTGTGCTGGTGCTTTAAAGCCTTTTATTAAAACCATGTTGGTTTAACATATTAAACGACTTTAAGGAGCAACATCTGTGCAGCTGTGTGTTTAGTGTCACGTCAGTCCATTTTCATTCAGTTTGTGTTTCAGCTCAAACTGACGTCTGAAACACACGAAGCTCACGTGAAACCCTGAATCTGTAACTACCTGCACGTCACAGCTGCGAAAGGTCGCCCCCTGCAGGCCATGAACGGTACGCTCACTGTTTTTATAAGCACGTTAATATTGCTGCAAACAAATCAACTTACATGCCTGAAAGTCCCACAAAACAACCTGCATCATGTTTAATGACTCGCTGTGTTGTTTGTCTGCTCTACTCAGGATCTCAGAGACGAGGGAAACATCGTGATCCCGGCGCCTACACCACCATCTTCTGCTGATCTCTCCTCACAGGCTGCTGTTGTTCCTCTGTTGGGTTTGATGAGGTGAATTAAGGCTTCGGGTTTCTATCTCTCCATGAAATTGCTGTTTGCTCGTTAAAAGCTGTAATTACAGCTCGTTTTATCGGAGCGCCTTTTGTCCAGCTGCTGCTGCTCTCGCGCACTCGCATTTGGAAAATTGGCCTTTTTCCGAGTCTGTCACAGGGAACCTGATGACTTTAGCAAGTCTCTGTGTGCGTGAGCTCCGAGCTAACCGGCTCTGACAACTGGATAATGTGACGAGAGCTCACACGCCATGCTGAATAAACACAGGAATGAGTTTTGTTGGAGAGGGCTGCAAACACGATTGGAGTCGATTAATGAGGCGTCCACCTCTCCACCTGTCAGAGAGGAGGACGGGGGAGAGTTTGAGTTCTGACCTTTCAATTACAGGTTATTACAGCGTTTAACTGCTTCTGAGACAACATCCAGCTAAGTGAATGAGACGAGGAAGAGGAGACAGATGAAGGCCTGAAACCTCCTGCAGCCTGCAGTGACGATGACGATGTGATTAATAAAAAAACTGATAAACTGATATCTGGTCAGATGGTGTCACGTCCCTGCGTCTGCCCGGTCGGGACACATGGTTTTGTTGCCTCTCTCTCTCTCTCTCCTGTCTCCGCCCTGTCTGGGCGGAGCTCACTGTGGGCTCCCACCTCTGGCCCACGCACCTGCAAACAATCCCTCACCTGCGGCTCGGTATCCTGCTTCTCCACTATTTAAACGGTGGCTCAGAGCGTTTCGTGGCTGGATGCTTGCACGCCTCACGTCAGCGTCGCTGTAACCTCGTCCTGGTTCTGATCTCTTCGCCTGTTTATTCCCTGGACCCGTCCTGGTTTCTCTTGCCTGAGTGTTTGGCAGCGTGGACGAAGCGCGGTGTGTGGATCGATGATCCAGTGTCCCTCTGCCCTCCCTTCCATGGATCTCTGAAACCCCGACTCCCCCTCTTTGTACAAAGCTCTGCGTCTGTGAATAAACAGTTTTTCCTGGGTCCGCTCAGACAGGCGTGAGAGCGTCAGTAAAAATGAATCTGCGTTGTGATCGAAGTTTGTGTCTGCAGACTGT